CTTGACCTCTCTTGGCAGATTTAAAATTTTGCACGGTGAGGTATGGGATTGAAATTTTAAAATGCTTCTATTTCTCAAACTTTCATTAATTTTTTCGATGATTCTACGGGGACGTATTCTATTAAATATTTGTTTTTTTTTTTTTATATTTGAAGCTGAACAATTCATTAGGTCCGAAGTAACTTTGATCGATTCTCTTCATCGACATTTTCTTTTGTTTATAACTTGGGTACAGAACTATTGATTTGTGATTTGTGAACATTGAAATTTTTGATATTATTGATGTTTTCTTTTCGATAGAACGATAATAGACTATTACGATGAAGTAGAGCTCTAACCTATATCGAAAAAAAAGTCCTGCAAAGTGTTCAAGTATAAGTACCGAAGTTCTGAATCTGAATAAAATCACAGTTTGGCTTTCCGAATATTTCTCTTTCTCTTAAAAATTTGCTACTATATAAGGAGCTCGGTGGCCTATTGGTATCCGTTTTTGCTTAATGAGCAGAAAGGGGTTCACTCCCAGGCTCCTCCGATTTATAATGATGTAATTAGTATCGCCATGTTATCAAATGATCACGTCACTTACCATGGTGAATCCTGATCAATCACTTTTCCTACCAGCAAAAACTCTCTTCCCTTGATAGATGTGGAGATGCAGAGGTAAACTCGGTCTTTATCAGCAAAGTCTATCAAACTAATATGCCTTCCTTTCCCTGACGACTGTTATCACCGTTCTTGATGTTTAAAATACAGTTTCACCAGAATTTGCACTCTAAGGATAGGTTGCTAATCCCAAGCTTCACTCATTTGGTCCCTTGTGCATGTTTTGGTGGATCTGGTCAATCACGGATTGGTAACTACGAAACGTACGGTGATTTTATCCTGTGTGCGGTATTTTGAAAATAATTTAAAACAATAAATTCCTGAATCTTGGAAAATAGTCCAGGACCAGGAGCTCGGAAAAATATCTAAGTCACACATTTGAAGAATTTCTCACACCTGAAATTTCGAAAATCTGCAGATTTTGTGTGTCTGAAACCTAGAATTAATGTTAAGTGCCACAGAATAAACAGAAATGCTCCCAGGAGAAAAAAAAATAGAATTTAGATGTCTCTCTCAGATTTTTTATTCAAAATCTAAGATCTCGAAAACGTTTCCAAGTCCATTCAATTCTTGAAAAAATTTCATGTTCACGATAATCTTGAAAAATGCATGTGAATTTCTTCGATTTGATATGACATGAGTTAACACGACATTTCGTGTAAATTTTGGTGAAAAATCGCTGAAATATGCAAGATTGTATACAATCTTGCTTACACGTTAGTTGTTTATGGCAACCAGGGTTCTACATTTTCGAAGCTCTAAAATGAATTCGAGTTTTGTTTCTTTTATAAAACGTGTTTAACGCATCGTTTCTATAACGCCTAGCTAGACTATCAGCACGAATCGAAAATGAAAAAAGATCACGCTTAGAACGAAAGCACAGAACAGAAGCGGACAAAGCTTGCCTTCTACCGCTAGGTGCGCTAGTGTTTACAAAAATAATATGGAGCCACTTTTGGATCCGAAGTTCCATTTCTGTTCTGTGAAAAAAAAAGCTAAAGGAAACTATAAAAGTCAAGCGTTCTTTCACTCGTTCGCGTCACCGAACCTTGAAAGAAAGACGAATGAAGCGACGGGAGAAAAAGAGACAAACGATTGAAAATTTGTCAGTAGACGCCGACTGAGGTGCTAGAATACTGCGAAGCTGCTCGACTTCAACAGAAAAAGAACGCTAGCCGACAGCCGTCTCTTCGTCGCATCAATTTTGCTGATTGAAGCTGATATTGTGACACCCTGATGCCAACATAAGCTCAAGATTATACATAGGAGATTTTTTCACGGTCATAAAAAACCATTATCAGTGTACATAAAGTAAAGGGATCTCAAACATAGGACAAAATCGATGTCGCAGACTTCAACTCTTCTATCATGGATTTAGATGAAAACTTATAATACTCGAACTTAGAAGAAGAAGCTTGTTTGACATGTCCGTAAATTATTGTTGACTTTTGGTTAACTTTTCCAGAAGATTTACGCACCGTTCTAGATGTTCGCTGAATTTCTCCTTAGATTTTTCTGAATTTTAAGAAATTTATGATTGCTACGTTCTAGGATAAATCGTAAAAAAGCATTTCAACGGATCATCCGAGTCTTTCAAAGAAACGATGTGTGTTTTACACGACCTCATATGTTGGAAAATGGTGCACCTAGAGAGGCTAAAAAAGATTCGAATTGAGAACATCATATAGCAAGGCATTTTCGAGTAACACCGCCAATGAAAACAAGATACAAGCTGCATGCTCGATTGCCTCGGACTTTGACAGTTCGTTTGGCTCAAAACCAAGCAGTCCGATTCTCGCTTTACTGTCGCTATAGGTGAATCACAAACTGTTGGAAAAATAAACTCATAAACAGACACCCAGGTGAGATTCGATACGAGAATAATTTTACTTAACACAAACAAAACTTGAGAGAATGCATAACTGAAGTACATCTTCAATCTACAAACAGCATTCCTTTGCGCATAGTCTGCTTCAGCAAAATTCCCCAAGTACATTTCTTTTAGAATGGGCCATACATTATTCATCATCATTTTACAGTCGATGAATTGGCACTTTTCCTCCTCCATCTCAACAACAACACAATTTGTGTACGTCAGAATTCTTGTGCCTACAGGCAAAAGTACATTTGTCATACCTTGGAATCGTTTCGTCTCCATACCAATAGATCAATGGGATCCCCCTCCGGCGTGAGATACGTCGTTCGCACGTCCGTTCGTTCGATATATTTACCAAGCCCAAGTCAAACCAATTGCCATAGCTGTGAAAAGCATGTCCCTCGTAAAGCTTCACTTATACCGGCAAAGGGCCTTCAACGAATGGGATTTTTTTTATCTGCAGACCGGCCACGATCAACGATTCGAAACGGAAAAGCACCCAAAAACAGAGAAGCAATTGGTTTCATTATATTAGGGGTCATGCAGTAATTACGAAAGCATTTTATTATTTTCGATCTTCAAACTTTCCTCCTTCCCCTTTGTAGGATCTTGCATCGATTTTCAAACACCCCCTCCCCTCCTAAGTGCTTATGTAATTATTGAGTGGCCCCTTAACGCCACACCTACCGTCGCTGTTGCGATTTTCACGATCAAGATCACCCACAGATCACCTGAGGTCTAAAAGCTTCTGTCTTCTGTGGATTAGGGTATCGTGTTGCTTCGTCTGCTCCCCTATTTTTCCGTCTTATGTATGCGTTATTGCGGATTTTAAACTCATAAGACCAAGTGAAGAAGATGACATGCTTAGTTGAAAAAATCTAATTTTTTGATTAACATTTGATGAAAAAAAAAAATAAAGGACGCATCGTACTTAGTAGGACAGAAATTAGGTCAAAACCCCTATTTAGAAAGCGATCAAGGTGGCGATAGTTTATGCAAGCATGATGGATGCAAACGAGCTCGTAAATGCATTTAACATGTCATTTCATATCGTTTATGCCAGTGGTATTTGATCTGCTTGGCCCAGGTATGCTTAAACTTGATCCAAGGCACACCAGCACCGGAAAATAGTTGTAAGAATTGTAGGAAGAAAAAGGGATTGATCTTGCTCCAGGTTTTGAAGCAATGCTGTGACTGAAAAGGGGAATCCCACATTAGGTACTCAAATTCACATCACGACTAGCAAGTAATGCACATGCACCTGTACCAGCCATCAACCTTGTCCCTGAATTACCCTGAAAGACCCGGTGCATGGCGAAAGAAAATCAAAACGTAAACAAAACAAGCAAAACAGCAGGCAAGTGTGTACGAAGTTTGAAAACCGCGAACGACGAAGGCGTGTGATGTCTCTCGGCGAGCGCGTGACTTCGATAGCTAAGCTGCACCGGTCGTGTTACGCAACTTAGATGGGTACCTAAGCCGGATTGATTAATAGACCATAAATTGCCCTCCCTCTGCCCTCTGTGTGTCATCGCCGACCAAGCGTCCCCCTTCGGTTTCCCTATGTATGATTGTCCAACGACGGAGAGAATTAGAGAATTACATCTGAAATTCAAATGTTGGCATGTACACGACCGCTGTGACTAACTTAAAACTGGGTAGAATTTCGCTCATGTTGGCAAAAACCTACGTCCACTCAAGGACTCACAAATAAAGCAATCGGATTTTGCCAAAATGATTGGAATTCTACTCAATTTTGAGTTTGCCTCTGCGGCCGTGTTTAACCACTGGACTGGATACCGCCCGGCGATGAGTTGATTAACCGGCTTGTTTGTATAATTTTAATTTTCTGATTTACCTACTTAGCCCCACGAATGGACGAATGGACGAACGTGGATGACGTCCGAATCGCATAGAACGCTGCCGGGGTTCTAAACTCCAAAGTTTAGCTCCGAAACGAATGTAATGAGGAAGTGGAATATTAATTAGAAAATGAGATTTGATTGAATTGTACTGCGGCCGGCTGGTTGGCTGTTGGCTGGGTAGAGCTCTAGCAGTCGGCAGCGGGAGAGACTGACATTTACAAGCCAAGCGTTTAGCGTTCGGTCAAAGAGAATGGCAGCTGGGAGGTACATTGTCGACATAATTTTATAGCTGCTTCGATGCGTTAGAACATGTTGCGCTGTAATTGATTAATTACAGCTGTTCGTACATCGAAACCGGAGAGTTGGAACGATGTTCTAGACAGATTAGTTAATCGGTTTTGTATGTCGGTACTTGAATGAATAACTTCCCGCTGATTTGACCGATAAATCTGTGTCAATAAAAAAAAAAAAACAAGCGGGACAAACTAAGTTGCATTCTATCCGGATACTGTAATTCCGGCGAATTGCAGGGCTGTGGGTGTTTACTATTGGATCATTATCATATTTGATTTAAGGTGATTGCCCGCAAAAGGCCGCTGAGTGGAGGAATGAACTCGTTTGAGCACATTAATTTGATTTACTTTAATGGTACTTACTTTTTCACAGTATATGGAATTGGTTGTTAGGTTCAGGATTCTGTAAAAGAGAGAGAAAGTAAAAAAATAGTTTAATATTGGGTGATCAAATATTCTAGCTGAAAATACCGAAAATACCAGACTTATTTATCAGGAAATGTATAATAATAGCTTTTACAAATCGAGAGATTCAAGCAATAGTCGAAGTGTTTTTTTATGATTGGAAGACTTTTCTGATCATAGTATGCCTTGGAAAATTCAAACAAAAAAGTTGTGGCCGATAATTATATTTTAAGGGGACTCGCATAAAGAATGCTTCATATCTCAATGAAAACGATATGTTAGGAAATATGTGTCTTCAGAAAAGTTTATGGAAATACTGAGTTATAATGTAGAACATTTCAATCTATCTGCACCGCTGTGCAACTTTGCTTAAGATTCACATTGTAAACGCTCCAAGTATCCATGACACGGGGGACTGTATTAAAACCGAGGGGGCCGTCATATCTAAATCGTAATTCTAGATGCTCGAAAAATCTTCCACTAGCGAATCAACCTACGAAAAATCTTCTCTCATTTCTCGCATCTACTTGCATCGTGCACGATCTTTTTGCAGGAAATCTTCAGAATCAGCTAACCACAGCAAAACCAATTTTTTCCTGCATCGTAGGTAAAGTCACCCCCATCGATTAAAACTGCTCTAATACGATCGGAATCGCCTTACAAAAGGCTTTTCAAATTCAATATTTTTTTAAAGACTTGTCGAATAAACTTCAAATCTCCAATAAGTGTAAATGGCTACAGTCGTGCGGTTTGAAAAATGGCAAATATTTTTTGACGACATGGTTCTTAAAACAAAATGACCATACAAATGATAATATGAACCAAAAAAGGTCGTCCGAAAAATTCGATCGTTTGAGAATTATTCCGACCTGATGGTAATATTGATGAATTCCATTTTCACTTTAAAGCAGTTCCACACCAAATGACGAATCGATCTGATAAGATCATCTACGATTTGCATGAAACTTCGCATGATTGTTTCTTATGGTTAATCATTCACATTTGAGCTTAAATTCGGCCATTTTGAATCTTTAAAAAATAGTTTCAAAACTTCAAAATATTCGATATTTTTCAGCCAAACATAACTCGAAAACGTCACTTCCAATCGAAATGCCGTCTGAGACATAGTTGTTAGAAAAATAATTCCTTTTAAAGAAAAATATGCACGGCAAACAATTTCAAGTAAGTGGTCAAACCTTGGAAAACCAAAAATTATCCTCTCCAATGGTTTTTGAAATTCTTTCGTTTAAAAAAAAATTAAGATGGATACTTAAAATCTACAAAAACAACTATTTCTTGTAAAATTTTGCTCAGAATATTATTATAAAAAAAAACATTCCTAAATTTTATGAAAAGTTGTTGTTCAATGATCTTTGTTATTTTTTTCGTGTTCAACTGGAAATTTTCACCACCAAAAAAGCAATATTCATAAGCATTTTGATGTACAATAATAAAAAAAATATTAATTAGGGTCGGTTTTTATCACTTAGGGGAATTTACGTATTCTCGGCAACCTAAGCAGCGACCATCTTTCTATAGCCTTTTTCTCTAAGGAATGCAGTATTGGTTTGTTTACAATCTTTTGCTGCCAGCTGCTCTAACAATTTCAGTCGAAAGAATTGTCAAAAACTGTTTTGAAACGTTATTACAAAGCTCCAAACTTCTCTAGTGAGAGCGACTATTATGGGCAACATCTTTTTATTCGGCAACCTTTCTATTTGAGCTGCGTGTTAAACAGCTGTGCTTTTATCGGCAACTCGAAATCAGCAGCATTTTGTAGTGCGTGTGTTGCATTTCAAGAAAACCCTGCTAGTTTGCTTTTTCTCAGTGGTAAAAATATAATCAAATTGAAGCTGAAAGCCTAAAAAATCGTTTGAATGCATTCAGCGAAGTGTTTTCATAAGAAAATCCAGTGAAATTAGCGTTTCAATTTGCGTTGCCAAAAATAGTCTGTCATGCCGAAGCTGTCATTTCCCCTAAGTATTCAACACTTTTTATGAATTTTTAACTCAAAATTTTTCATAACTTTGTCTCAGACGTCATTTCAATTGGAAGAGACGGTTCAAAGTTATGATTTGAATCGAATATGCCACATTGAAGTTATTTTTGTGAGATTCAAAATAGACGAATTTAAGCTCAAATGTGTGAATCATTGACCATAACAAACAATTATACAATGTTTCATGCAAATCGGAGAAGGTCGAGTCTGAAATTCAATTTTAGTTTTGCTATTTGACCCGGAAATGTTCATTTATATCGATTATCATGATTAATCCCAAACGCCGATATTGCCTCCAGTGCGCCAAAGTTACTTAAGAATGCCAAAATAAAGTGTGTCCACAATCAAATTTCAATTTGCAAATGGCTCTAAACTTTTATCCTTTGAGTTTCATTTTGATTAGGGGAAATATCGTCTTCGGCAGTACCTTAACCTATTATCGTCAGGGGTTAAACAACCCCATAGAGCACTTAAATTTGGTCAATAGATGCTCTGAAACACAATGTATCCACATGTCAAAATTGAGCTCTCAAGTACGTTGTTTAACCCCCTGACAATAATGGAACAAGGTATTGCCGAAGCTTTCATTTACCATATTAAAAAATCGTATAAAATCTTAAAAATCGGTATTACTGTATATCGGTGTCAAGTTAGACAATCGGAATAAATATCTGGCAATGCTGCCTCGAAGAGAAAACCCCCAACGAGCGAATGATGACTGCAGTGATGCAGTTGCTTTTTACTTCTTTCGTCAACTTGATGGATGGTCATGGAGAGAGCTTCGACGAGCACATTGATAGGAATGTACAAAGCGTTACTACCATCAGCTGTTTGATGATGGTGATTGTGATAGGTCGCAACTCTGGATGACTGTTCAAGATCTCATAGAATTCATTTCCTGAAATTAGTCATTACCATTTTTGGTGAATCATTTTGTGTGATGAAATGTCACCCTTTAGTCTTAAAACATCAAAATACAGCAAAATGCCTTTATTCAATTTTGAATCTCTGAAAACACCTTAAAATAGTGCTCATGGCCTTTCTAAACGTTAAAATTACATCATAAAGGGTTGATGCATATATTATGTCACGCTCTAAGGGGGGAGAGGGGGTCTAAGATTTTGTGACAAGCAATGCATTAGTTATAGGAAAAACGTCACGATAGGGGGGGGGGAGGGTTGTAATTTTTTGCTCGATTTAGCGTGACATAATTAATGCATGGGCCCAAAGGTTGAACACGAAAAAATCCGGACACATTAAAAACGCTGCCATTAAGGCAATTTTTGAGTAAATTTTTCGAAATTTCACTGAATCAAGCTAATAGTATATAGAATCACAGCAGGCATTGGTTGTCAGGAAAAGTTCATTTGATAACATCATGGCTTCACCGGAGCAAGCTCGTCGCGATCCGATCCTGTACGCTTGAACAAAAATCACGGTCTATCCGCTCGAGAGTTAGCAAAACTTTTGAATTTGTCGAAACCCACGGTGTGTGACGTTCTGAATTTTATACTCCGGTTGACCGGATGAGTGCTCCGGAAGAATGTAGAATCAAAAATAAGTCGAAATTCCCCAAAAAGTTCCTTGTCTGGCATGCAGTGCGCAAAATAGTCAGAGGTTCAATGAGTCATTTTCATATGAATATGAACAGCCATTCGCCTCTAGGCGAGTAAGAGAGCTGCCACAGTCGGAAGAAGTGTTAGTTTGTTTACTAAAATGAACCATGCCCATTTTGTTATGGCAAGTTTGCTATAAGAAATGCTCCTCGTGTTTATTAGCGAAATTCACATCAAAGATTGATTAATTGCGTAGAAAATCAGTTTGGCACGGCATTTGTGACCAGCATACACCTTCCGGTCGTACGAAACTGGTCAAAAACTGTCCAAATCCGCAGATCAAAAATTTTTGTTTTGAATTTCTGTATGGCAAAATAGTGAACTTTTCGTGAACATTAACGGCAAAGAACTCACCAACACTGAGAGACCGTGAGTTCCTGCCCACCTGTCATTCCCCATCTTGCATCCGCCTCATCATTCACTGACTCGTGAGAGTTTGAATGATTGAGATGTAAACAAGTCACTGGCAGCAGAGCACTCTTTCAGTAGCTCAGTCGGTACGTTTATTCTTCCGTGATGGTACCCAATCCTTGTTCTGAGTGACTGAGCATATATTTTCTATGTAAAAATGCCTCAACTACATGCTGTGTGAGCGAGGGCAAGCGGTGTGAGTCGCGTGTTCGTGAGTGACTGAATGTTTGTGTTGGCTCTTTCATTGCCTTGTCCTTTACCGTTCAGTACAACCGATCTAAACAGAGCAATGAATTGAATATTTAGTTTAGTGCTTTCACACTCAGCCCAAGCTGTCAATAATTTTACGCTCTGCTGGCAAGCAATATTGTCGCGCTTATGTTTTAGCGAATTCGTTTATTATCGGGGTTGGAACCAGTGCGAAACCGAACTTTTTGTCAGTGCGAACCTCAACCTGAGCTGGGTTTAAAAAACAAACGAGCAAACTGACGTTTGTCAGAAAACAAGCAGACCCAATCTTGATACCCAATCCAGGTTGGAACTGAATAATAAACAAATTCGCTATTAAATTCTCATTTGGTGACGGTCGAAGCGCACCACTCATAAGCGCGATGCAACAGTATTCATCTTTGATGCAACCCCGCTCATAAGGATTATACACAGGTGTGTAACTTTGATAGTATTTTAAAGCAGCGGTTTGAGGAGCGAATTCTGGATAAAGAGCCGCCGTGTGTTAAATCAATGGGCGCAGTCGTACGGCCATAAACAGAAAACAGATGCAGGGTTACTTCCACTCACTTGCTATAAAAAACTGTTTTTTCGGAATTATGAAAGCATGATATAGTATAATGCTAATTAGTACTTGTAAGTTACAAGAAGAGGTCATGTTTGACACATAAAATCGGTCAATATTGCTTTCAGTGCGTCACAATCAGCGTTTTTACGACTCGTGAACGCTCACTCTGAGTGAAC